TTTGGAAGCTCTCGAGACTTCCAGGGAGGGAAACGCCTTTTTCTTTCCCTTCATTCACAGACAGGCTCGGTTTGATTTGTTACGTGGGGTTTTTCGTTATTATTATTTATTTATCCTCGCTGCTGCTGACCCAGGATTTGGGCTCTGTGTCCCCTGGTTTCTCAGCCCAGCCCCTGCCTTGCAGCCCCGCTGCTGGGGGCTGCCTCCTCCCCGGCCCACCTCCCGTTTCTGGGAGCCCCCAATTCTGCAGGAACCCCCCCAAAGCACCACACAACTTTTCTTCCTTGCATCCAGCACAGGATGCAGAAAGTTCACGAGCTTTTGGGAAAATTTGACCCACTGCTACGTCACCGCGTGGTTTGTGCCCCGCGGCCGAGGATCCCTCACTCGTCCCCAGCTCTGTCCCACCCAGCACAACAGGGGACACCACAGCCACACGGGGGGCAGCCCGGGAGAGGAGCAGTGCCCCAAGGGGGGCACTGGAGGCCTAAATGCGCTCCCTTGTCCCCCTCCCCTCCTTCCCCTGGCTCACAGAGGGCAGGAGGGGTGCCGGGGGAGGATGGTTGGGGTCCCATGGCTCCAGAGGGGAGCAGGAAGTCCCAGGGGTGCCCCACACACCGAGGGGGCTGTGGGGAGCCCAGGGGGCAGTGGCCGAGCTCCTGAGCTCCGTCCGGAGGGCTTGGTGACATGTGAAAGCCTTCATTGCACTGATGGAGATGGAAAAAAAAAAAAAAAGACCCAGCGGAGGCAGTGGAATAAAATCCCCCAAAACAGCCCCCGGCTGGGAGATGCCAGCTCCAATTCCTGCAGCGCTTTCCCTGCTTGGGACCCGGCTTCCAGCCTGGCCAAGGAAACAGCAAAAAGCAGGAAGGGCAGTAATGAGCCTGCGAGCAATTAGCACACATGGGGCCTGGCTCTGCTCGGCTAACCTTGGCGTAAAGCTGGGGCTGGCGGTGTTCCTCCAGCCCGACGCCAGGGAGGCCGTGAGCAGGCTTTGGTCGCGAGGAGCACATGCAATAAAACAGCTGAAATCTGCCTAAAATAACGGGATGGGGTGGGCTGCAGGCAGGTAAATCCCACAAAACGACACAGCATCAACATCTGATAATGGCCAGGCCTACTATGGAGCATCCCCGTGTCCTCCTGAGCTGGGGACGGGCTGGTGTGGGCGTAGGGACTGGATCGGATGGAGGAGCCCCGAGCAGGCTTGGGATCTCGCAGCTTTTTGGAGGAGCAGCTGTGGTGAGAAGCGGGCTCGGCGCAAGCGAGCGCCCAGGCGTTGGAGCAGGGAGAGGCAGGAGGCAAGGCAGAGCTGAGCTGCCTCGGGGTGGTGATGGGTTCCCGGGCCAGGCGCGTTTCTGTCCTGCCTGCTGCAGGTGGGAGCACAGGACAGAGGCTCTGGGTGAGCAGTGCTGTCGGTTCCAGCCCTCCCGAGGTGGTCCCACCGTGCTGCCCTGGAGAAAATCTCCTGGAGAGGCAGGGGAGCAGCGTGGGGAGACAGCGAGCATCTTCCTCGCCTCCCGAATCGCTGGCTGCTCCCTAGACACGTGGGTCAAGTGAACGCTGCCAAGGGGAGCGCGGGTGGTGCCTGGAGAGGGAAGGAGGCTGAGAACAGCCTTCGGTTCCCACTGCTGCAGAGCAGCAGCTCGACATGTAACATGTCTGGAAGCTCGTGGGGAGATCCAGCCAGCGTGGCTCTGCAGCCCTCCACCAGGAACCTTCCAAGGGGAGCTCTGCAGCAGCCTGGGATGAAACGGTGGCTCCCAGTCTGAGAAACACCTTCCAGCCCTCGCTGGGCTCCCTGCTGAAGCCCAGGCTGCTGTGCCGTGCCCAGCTGGTGTGGTTCAGACCTGCCCTCCCTGCACAGCCTCACCCCGATGATGAGCCCAGCAGGAGAGCTACGGCGTGGATAGTTTTGTTTTCCTCTGTCCATCTGGAGGAAATCCATCGAGGCCACTAGACCTGCCAGGGTGCCCCATCTCGGCCCATGAAGCTTGGTGCTGACGCAGAATTTTGCCTTTCTGGGTGCTGCAGCCATGGAGCAGAACCAAATCTGGGTCTTTCTGCCTTAACTCCAAGTATCCCAGCCCCCCAGTCCCTCCCTGTGCCAGCAGCACGATCCCTGCTTAGCTCGGGATGCTTCCCTGGGTGGTGGGGGGGAGGAGGGTGGGAAGCGAGGTAGCTCCATTCCCCTCTTGATCCCTTGGCCGTGAGTCCTGCTCGGCTCCCCTGGGGCCACAGGGCTGGGCAGGGGAGGGCGGAGTCCTGGAAGCATCCCGGGGATGGACAGAAAGCCAAGAAATTCTCCAGGATGGAAGTCATCCAGCGTAAACACAAGGGTTGGGCATGTGTGTGGTCTCCATAAATTAAAGCTACTAATTGGCTTTAAAGTGCCGTTAAAAAGAACACGGTCAGGGCTCGTAACAGAAGCTGGGAAAAGTGAGCTGGGCAGGGCCCTACAACTACGCCACGAGAGCCGTGCCGTGCCCCGCTGCCACCGCTCGCCGCCGGGCAGGCAGCCGGCAAAAATCCTCCCTGACACCTCCTCGGAGAGCTCCCTCCTCAACACCCTCGAGTGATGTCTGCCCCTGTCAACACGCCCTGGCCGAAGAGAAAAATCCCCCAAAGTAGCAGGTGTGCTGAAGGCCTGTCAGAACGCATCAGAGCCGGCTCCGGAGCGGGGCTGGCCAGCAGAGCTCAGCCTGACCCCAGGGTCCCGCCGGTCCCCGCAGCACCTCCGCAATTAGGGCTGGGGAAGGAGCAGCACCCGGATCGTGAGGTCCCGCTGCCTCCAGCACCTTGGTGGGTGCAGAGGACGGCGCAGGGGTGCGGCTACGTGCAACGGGGAGAGCTGCAGGAACGTAAATAGGAACCTGGTGTCCCACCAGGATGGGACCGGGGCACTCAGCCGGCGCCTGTTGCGTTCTCACCCCTATCTAAGGGGGCAGGACGCGCTGGGGAACATCCCTCGCCCACAGCCCAACATAAATCTTCAGCCACTGGACTGCCAAAGAGATTGAAAAGGGGTTAAGCGCTCATTTCTCAGAGGCTGACAGATTTCGGCGCATGTAGCCTGGAGGTTCTCCAGGGGGCCTGATGTTTTATGTCTTTGGGATGTTTTTGCCTCCTTCCAGTTTTGTTCAGTGCTGGTATTGTGTTTATATCAGCAAAATTCTGGATTATTGCCTCCTCTCCTTTTTTTTTTATTTTTTTTTTACATGTATCTGCTACTTCTGCTTGTACATTGCCGTACCACTGTGCCCTGCTGGTGGGGAGAAGCAGCCCTCAGCAGGACTGGGATGCCCAACGCGATGCTCCATGGCTTTTGGTGCATCTCAGCGGGGCGCCCAGGGTCTGCCCCTGCTCTGGGTGATGCACAGCAAAGCATCTCCGTGCCAGCTGCTCCGAAAGGAAAGACACCACTGGCTCATTTAGGGAATTAGGTGAAGTTCCCTAAAGTGATGGAAGGTGAAGCCACAGGTCAGAGAACTTGAGCAGAAACCGCTCGTGGGGACTGAAGCCCTGAGCCCCAAGGTGGCACCTCTGGCACCTCATCTGTGTGCAATGGATGCACACGGGGTGCGGGACCCATCGCATCTGGGGGCCTGCAGGACCTCAGCGAGGGCACTGCTCCCCGCTGCCTTGCAGGGGATGGCACAGTCCCTTCGGCACAGCCAGGGAGCGGGGACCCCAGCCCAGGCTCCTCTACTCCGTGGTGCTGCCTCCCAGACCAGCACGAGCCAAGGGAGCGCATCAACCTGCAGGCACCTCCATCCCCTGCTTCCCCCAGTTTCTTCCATCCCGAAACTCTGCAGGAAGAGGAATGTGAGCAAACACGGACCTACCGGGCCCCTCCTGCCCCAAATTCCTGTCTGCACCAAGCAGATGGAGCAGTTTCAGTCACACCAGGGGTTTGCTTATGACTTCCAGCCAAAGGGGTCTGGAGACCTCCCAGCCCAGGGCTTTGCACCCAGCATCTCCCTGGAGGGGAGAGGCTTCTCCTCCCCGGGGTACATCTCCCCTTGGTTCGTCACCTTCCCCTTCCCTCTGGTCTCCTGCCCTTCTCTCCCTTCCTTCCTCTCCGCATGTACTGGAAAAAAAAAGAAAAAAAAAGAAAAAAAACAGGGTTTCTGTAGGGGAAAATGTAATCAAATCAAAAGAGAAATGGAAAGAAGCGCCTCAAAACTTGCTAGACAGGCGTTTTCTTTGCGAGATCAAGGGCCAAATTCTGCTTTCATCACATTGGAGAAAAATCTGGCCTACCTCCCCTTGAATTAATGGCATTCCTTTGTAAGGGGAACAGAATTTCATTCATTCGCGCCTCGTACAGCAGCACCGGGGCCATCAATCCTCGCAGCTTCCAGTCACGTCTCAGCCCACAGCTCCAGCACGGCCTGCTTGGGAAGTCCCAGATCGTTTCCCTGCATCCTTCCTTGACTTGTCAGCTCATGATAAACAGCATCTCATCCCGATCCCAAGCGTACGAGCACACTGAGTGCTTACATCACCTCCGAACCCATTCCAATGAGATAAAATGTAGCTCAGATCCAGTTTGAATAGCTCGGTATTCCCAAATGGGCTCTCCCCACTCATGCGCAGCGCTCAGGGGCCAAATCCTGGTGTCTGCTGCAAGGCATTCGACCTGGAGTCCCTCCCTGGAAGTGGGGGCTGTGAGCACAGGCTCCCAGCGAGCAGCAGACCCATAAATCCGCCTCCAGCATCGCCACACAGGAAGGGGAAGATCCCTGGGAGCCCTGACTTTCTTCTGTGCCATGTGCCAGGGAGGGGGAGATGGACACAAAAATGTTTGATGCTTCTAAACCATCTGGGCCAGCCTCCCCCAGGTACATCAGTGCTGTACCCACGTCCGCCAGGTGCCCTGAATGCTCCTTCAGATGCATCTTAATGACGTTAATTGTCTTGGCCAGCCTCACCTGGGCCCCAACCCACACCCCTGCCCTGGCCCCAAGCTCTATTTGAGCTCAGCCCCAGCTCTGAATCCTGCTTGGTGCAGTGCCCTGCTGGTGCTGGGACCCTTTGTGTGGGGTCACCTCTGGCTCTTGCCCTGTGGGGTAATGCAGTTGTGCTGCTCCCTGGTAGTGCTGTGACTTCTGCATGCTCACACGTCTTCCTCCTGGGCTTCACTACTGGTAGGACAACAGAGAATATTTTGTTACTGCTGTGTTTTTTTTGCTTATATATATATTGCTTGCACCAAGAGCCCCCTGAGCAGTCACGTCTCCAGCCCCTCTGGGATGGGCACGAATGACAGCTGTGACCTGGAGTCACTTGGACCAAGGGGCGTTGAAGGTTTTTTTTTTGAGCAAATGCTTAAAATACAAAATAAAATCTCAGCCCATCTGCACTGGATGGGCAGCAAGGTGCTGCCAGGGAGTGAGGAAATCACTCTTAACACCTCTGAAGAGCCTAACATGGAAAACCAGAGGTCTTCCAGCAGGAAGGTGACTGCTGAAGCAATGCCCAGGCTGCTTTTTAGGACCTCCCTTCCCAGTGCATGGAGGGGAACGTGCATCAAAGTACCCCACCCCTGGGAGCAGGTACGGGACTGAAGCAAGGGCAGGGGGATGTGGCAGGCTGTCATAAGCCTCGGAAAGGCAGTACAAAAAGTATTGGGTACGAAAAGGAGCTGTGAGAGGAGAGCTGCCTGCCAGCACTGCGGTGCAGATGGGGAGCAGGCAAGCAAGAGTGTTTGGTTGTGCTACACCTCTGGGGCTGCCACGGGGAAATAAACAGCTCCAGCTTCCTGCCAGGTCTCCAGCCTCTGCAAGAAGAGGCTTTTCAAAAGAAGTAAATCCGGGGAATTCCTGCTGTTTGCTGTCCTACTGCGGGACATGCTTGGCATAGAAAGGAGCCGTAACTGGTGCCAGGCCAAGCGCTGCTCCGGCGCGCATCCTTGATCACGAGGGTGGAGATCCGCATCCCCTGAGCCTTGCAGCGTTTCCCTTCCAGAGCACAAACTCGGCTGCTTGCTGCGAGCTGGGACTCTGTGAGAAATGGGTTGAGAAAAGCCTGACCCGAGCTCCGGAGAGCCCAGCACCACCCCACCAGGGCCAGCAGGGATGGGGCCGTGGGATCTCCGTGGCCCGTTGTCTGCTCTGGGTTTGGAGGTGATGGTTTTTTCTGCCCTTCAGCAAGCACACCAGCCCAGAAAATGGCCATTTTCAGCGAAGCCCCTCGAAGCACTTGAATATTTGAACAGCAAATGGGGTCTGGGAGGAGCCCTGACCCCAGCTGCAGACGGGTCCTTGGGCTCCCCTTGGTTTTTGTTTAACTTGATCGATTTGCACGTGAGACAGAGCAGCCTCCCACAGATGGAGTAACCCTGTTGATTTACACAAATTCCTCCAGACATATGCTAGGGTTTATGCTCTACTGGCATTTGCATTTCTACAGTCTGGACTGAGGCTGGGAACTTTTATTGGGTGGATTCTAGGAAAACAGAAGCCAAGGAATAAAAATAACCTTTTTTTTCTGGGCTGGGTTGATTGCTCTTGCACCGGCATGAATCCAGGCCAGCCCTATTGATTTTTTTTTTTTTTTTAAAGGAGTAACTGGGTTTATGTTGGTGTAACTGTGTCCCCAGAGCTGCATGAAATGTTCACAACAAAACCTGGAATTATGTGAGACCAGCAGAACTTCACTGTTTGGGGGTTTCATTACAAATCTGAATCTCAGATCAAGCTCGTCAAAGGATTCCTTAAGGTTCGTGAACCTTTCAGTCAGGCCTTGGCCTCGAGTCAAGCCAAGGCTGAGCTGATTTATAGCTCGGTATTGAAATAATGTGAAATCGGTGGTTTTGTTTGGTCTTGAGGCTGAAGCTCAACACTCACAGCCGAGCTTGGCTTTGGAGAGGTCAGTCCTCTTTGAAAGCCGAGCTCCAAACTCAATCAGCGGTGGGAGCTGGAGGAGAGGCTATCTGGATGAAAACCACGGGCCAGGTTTCTGAAGGTAACAAAACCGAAAAAATCGTTTCCAAAGGCAATTTCTGCCCAGCCCCCGAGCACAAAATCAGCACGGCTCAGGCTGCGAGCGGCACCTTGCTGCTCTGCACTCGCGGAGCGGGGCGAGGAACCAGACACAATTCGTTAGGACGTGAGGGCAAGTAAGGATCACTTGCTTCAGCTGGCTGCCGCAGCGAGCTAAGTGCTGTTAGCGCTAAGCTGACAGCCCCTGCGACCGCCCCGCGGCGAGGCAGGGGATGGGAGCACTCCTCTGATGTCCCGCTTGGCGCTCCAGAGACGGTGTTGTTCCCGCTGGTTATATATTGCCTGCGGGATTAGGATTCACAGGCAGCAGCAAAGCAGTTGACAATGTGGTTTGGCAGCGCCGAGACGGCAGCACATTGCCTCCTCCCCGGCCAGGGCTGGATGTGAAGCGCTCGCGGCAGCCCCGGGAGGAGAGGAATTTCACATGCGGCTCCCTGAGCCACGCGGGGCCGTGCTTGGAGCTGGCCCGGCCAGCCTCTGTGTTTGGCTGCTTTTCTTGGCCAACTTGGGGCAAGGAAGGCCAGGAATGGGACGTTCCCCATCCTCTGTAGTAGGAATGGCCGTGACAGGGCAGGGCCTGGCTCCACGTGCTGTGCCAAACCTGCTCCTGGCGTGGGCCCGTGGCAGCAAGGGCCCTGTGTGGGCTCGGTTTGGCTGGAGAAGGTGCCAGGCCTCTTGACGGCAGGTGGGGAAGGGCTCGGTGGGGCAGTGGTGACAGCAGCCACCACGAAGCCCCTTCCTCAGGCTCTGGGATGGGCAGCACGGCCTCCCCTGAGAAGCTCCTGCTCGGACGGTCAGGCTCCTGTTGCTGCTGTTCTTATTTTAACCTTCTGGCAGTAGCCAGAGCCTTGCGACGTCCCCAGCCCTTGCTGCAAAGAGCAGAGCGGCCTGGCCGTGGCCCCACAGCGGAGCAGAGGCACTTCTCAGAGGGACGTGAAGGCAGGAGACAGCTTCCCACCGCTGCTGGAGCAGCACCACCAGCCTTCCTCTAGGACTAGTTAGATGAGCAGCTTGCTGAGCTCTTCCTTTGAATACCGTGATTGCTGTGTCCCGGCTGATTAACGGCAGTCTTGCCTGAGCATTTTGGGGGCTGGAAATCACCGGCCAAGCCGTGTTTACCTAATCTGAGACCAGAGAGAGCAGCATGTAATCTTGCTGGGCAATCACAGATAACAAGTGCTGCTCGAATGTTAACTTCTGGCCAGCCACGCGCAGAGCGAACCAGCCAAAAGGAGATTAATTGAAAATCAATTGGAGGGACTTGACGTGCTCACAGAGATGGCCCAAGCAAAACCAGGGGCTAAATTCAGTGGATAAATAACTCACTGCGAGTTATTTGCTCAGCTCTACTTAAGTGGCTGATTATGTGGGTCTTTGGTTAATTGACTTATTGAGTGGCTGGCGTGGGTTTTTGGCTGCTCGCTCACTCCCTGCACGTTTTTGCTATTAACTCAGCTGTTTGATGGAACAAGTGGTCTATTGTCTATTTTTTGCTGGCTAGGTTGGTGTTTGGTTGGATATTGGCTCTTGGGCTAATTGAATACATCTGCTGCTGGCTGTACGGTGGCTTTGCCAGGTTCATCACTGCCTCTTTGTTTCATTCCCTGCTTGACATCTTGGTGGCACAGTTTGTCACGGACCCGATGCTTGTCTGTCTAACTTCCTCCTCCTTCCCACTTGCAAACCAGGCTCTCATTTTTTCCCCTTTTTCTTTGGGGTTTGCCATTGCTTCTTCCATGGTGCTTGGGATCCCAGGCCATAGCAGGGCTTCTTGGCAAGCTGTGTTTGATGCTTCATCTCTGGGACATCTGAGGATGGTCCCCAGGAAGGATGGGCCATTTTCTGGAAGTCTGCTCCCAGCTGTAGCTGCAGTCTGCAACCCTGGCACGGCTCCATCCTGACCTTGTACTTTTTCCATTGAATTCCTCGTCTCCTGTGCCACACTTCCCAGCAGAAGCTTTTGGTTTAGAAACAGGTGGGTCGCTGGCTCGGAGCAAGGCTCCAGCTCCGGGAGACAAGGGGAGGGAGACGAGGGGAGCAGGGGAGAAGAGACCTGGGCAGGAAATGATCCCTGAAAACTTAATAATCTCGGTCGATTTGACAAACACTTTTCATGCTTTTGGCCCTGATGTAACTTCAATTTGGGGGGTGAAAGTATATTTTTTCTGCTGCGTTAAACACGACTCCTTAGAAACACATGCTGTGTAGGCTTGATATCAGCATCCCGTGGCGAAGGGTATGCAGGAGAGAAGAGCCAGGAGCCAGCTGAGAGAACTTTGCGAGGGATCTGGGTGGGAATGAGGGAGGGAGGGAGGGGGGATGTTCTCCCTGCTTTTCTTCCACCTCTTGCTGAAGCACCTGACAGCAATTAGCACGAGGGTCCCCGAGGCAGCCTGGCCTTGCTGGTCTCTGGCTGACATGAGGTGTTGACCATAGCTGAGGCTGACTTGACAAGGCCCTGGGGAGATGCTCAAATTAGCTTGTTTACAGCTCTCCTGCCTTCATTCTTTTGCCATGCTTGTAAAACGCTTGGAGAGGACAGCAGTGCTTGTGTCCTGCCGGGCCTCCCCCGCTGCTGCAGGGGGCCCGGGGGAGCACCGGGTGCTGGGCAGCTGAGCCTTGTGGAGGGGATGCAGGAGCCCCCAAGGTCCTGGGGGATCCTTTCATGGTGTACCCAGTGCCACTGAGGGCTTTGAGTCTGGATGTGATGTATGGAAGATGCTGGTGGTGCCAGCTGTAAGGAGCCTTAACCCTGCCCTGGAGCATCCATCCCTTGGTGGCCCTGCCCTGGGCTCTGCAGCCCCCAGACCTCATCCCCAGCCAGAGCAGCGGTGGCTCAGGGAGTGTCTCCTTCACCATTTCAAGGCCCATCCCCAGGGATGCTTGTTTCTTCCCCCAGACCTATCTGGTCTAGGCTGGTTTTCTGCCCTGCCATACCCAGGTAGGTCTGGCTGCCCGCAGGGGAAGGTCTGTAGCCCGGGGTGATTCCTTGGTGGTGTGATGGAGGGAAGGAGTGGGACACAGAGGAACTGCTGGGGACGAGCCATCTGTTTCAGACCTTTCCTTGGATATCTCCATCCCTGCTGTAGCCCAGGTGAACACAGTGAATGCAAACCTAAAACCTGGGTGTCCCCGTGAGCAACCAGGCTCCCTCGGCAGCTTTGTGCACCCAAAGAGCAAGAACTCATGGCCCTGGGAGCATGATGCTCCCGGCTCCCACCACAAACCAGGCAGCAGTGCCCACCCTGGCATCTCTGCTTCCCCATCCCAGCTCTCCCCACCTGCCTTGTTCTTTCTCTCTGCATTCCTGTGGCTTCTTCCCCAGCAGGCTCGGGGCTGGGGCTGTCCTGGGGCTGGATGGGGAGCGAGGGAAGGTGCTGCCTGTCTACGGCTCCACGAAGGTCACTGAAAGGTAAGGGAAGAGAATAAGCTAAATTCTGTACATTTTTGCCGGTCTGAAGCTTCTCCTGTCTTGGAAAATGCCTGCAGGGGCATCCTGCTGCAATCCTGCAGGAGAACACGGGGCTTTGGGAGGGCAGATGAAATGAGGTGGCTCGGGGCTTGGGGCATAGTTTGTCTTCTTTAGCTTATTAGAGGGGCAGTGAGGAAGAAGAGTGGGATGATTCCCTGCTAAAGCAAGGGAGAGAAAGACAGGAAGAAGTAGAGCAAGTGGGGAAAGAAGAGACTTAGACCAGTCTCGGATTTATTGCCTCCAGTTCTTGGATTTCAGTGGGCTGGGGTGGCGGGGTACAGGGTGAGGGTACAGGGTGCTGCATGCCCTGGCACCATGAACAGTTTGGGAAACGAGGCAGTAAACGGGGATGCTGTGTCTATAAATACATATAAATATACATGCAACCATATATATATGGGTAAGGGGGAAGCTGACAGGCTGGGTTCTCTCCTCGTGGGTAGCTTTGGTGGCTGTCCAGCCCTGCCTCCCTCCTGGCAGCTGCCTCCTGCCTGGCGGTGGCCGGCACTGCTTAGTTTTGACTTTTATTTGCAAATCTGTCCAGGTCCGTGCCCCGTTTCTGTAGCACCAAAGCACTCCCGGTGATGTTCCAGCTGCGGGGGGCTGCTCCGATTGAGTGATCAGTGAAGAAAACCAGAAGGATCTGCCCAGGGGGAGGGCTTGAATTCCCTAGCACGGTGCCAGCTGCCTCCAGCCGAGCAGGCAGCCCTGTGCGTGTGGCACCAGCTCTCCGCAGCCTGCTGGTGTCTGAGCAGCCCTGACCACGTTTTGGGAGCCAGCTGGGGCCCCGTGGAGCTGCCAGGCTGCTCCTCGAGCTGCTGCATGGCCAGGTGCCTCGCTGTGGCAGGGACACTGCAGCACCTCCAGCCCTTCAGCCCCTGCCAGGATCTGCTCCTTAGAAGGTTTTCCCAAAGCAGCCCAGGCAGCAGCACCCCAGCTGGGCTGGGCTGAATTAGGAGCTGAGCTCCTTTACAGCGCCGCTTTCTCCCATCAAAAAGTGCCCCCAACAGAAGCCTCTGGGCACACCTGAACTCCCCTGGGGAGCCTTTGCACAACCCCACAGGACACAGAACTCTGCGTCTGCGCTCTTTCCAAGCAGCCCTAACCGTAACACTAAGCCTAACCCTACTTAGGACCCTAAAAAACACGTACGGTGCCTGTTTCTCCCATCCAAAAGTGCTCCCAAGGGCCATCCAAAAAGATGCTGTAAGGATGGAAGATGCAGAGTGGGAACAAAGGAGCTCTGAGGGGTCCAGAGATAAATGCCTGGATGGCTGCTGAGTGCTCAGCCTGATTTCACGGCGCAAATATTGGTTACCCTAGGGCATCCGAACCGGCCTTAACCCCAGTGAGGTGAGGACAAGTATCATTGTATGGATTCCTGTTGGATAGCAAGGAAGAATTTTCTGCATGAAAGCTTTAATTAGATTTGTTTGGACCGTGTTCATGTGCCTCCTGGGTTCGCTTTCTGTGAATACTTTAAGTTTTGTTGGCAGGAACGCTTGTGCAAACTGCAAATTTGGGGTCAGCATCTCATCTGATATAAATCAGTGCAGGCAGCAGAAGTCCACCAATTTACACCCACGGAAAGGCAGACTCCCTAAATGAATAGTGAGAAATTAGCCTTGGAACATAAATTTGGAGTGAAAAACTCCCAGGACTTGTGCTGAAAGCGTTACCCTGAGGCTGCAGCAGCTTTCCAGTGGCAACAGGGAGCATCAACCAGTGGCCAGCAGGAATCCTGGTGCAAAGGTGGAGCCCGTCACCCTCCTGCAGCCCCTCGCCTCCTCCCTCCTGCCTGGCGCAGGGTCGGGAGGGCAGCTGCATCTCGTGGTTCCTCCCCAGGCTGCAGTGCTCTGCTCCCACCAGCCCTTCCCAGTCCTGTTGCCACCACGTGCAACGAGCTCCGTGCTCTCTGGACCTGGTGATTCCTCCTCCCTCGGGGTACGTGCAGCCCTTGCCCCTCTAGGGTCCTGATCCAGCCCTGCCTGGGGCTTTGGGGGTGTTGAGTTTGGATGGAAATTGTAGGGGATGGGGCTGAGCCTGAGGACAGCGGGAGGAAAAGGAGGAGAGGGGCCCTCTGATTGCTATCTCCTGGAGGAACTGGAGCGTGCCCAGAAACAATAAATGTCCAGCGATGATTTGATATGAGTTAGGATGGAAAAGCATCACAGGGTGCGCCCGAGACGAGCTCTCCCTTCAGACTCCGGTGAACTCTTAAACAAACTCTTGTGCGCCTGCAAGGCTGGGCTCCAGATGGGCTGGGGGGGCTGCTCCTGGCCCCACGCCTGGGGGTGCCCAACCTGCTGGGGGGATAGAGGAGGGCAGGGCTGGCTCTGCACAGACGCAGACGGAGCAGCAGGACTGGAGCCCCTTGGCACCCTGCCTCTCTCCCAGGAGCATCACAGCTCGCTTTTCTCAGCCCTTTTTAGGCAAATCCTGCCTGCCCAGAGCCCCTGGCTCAGAAACCCCCTCTGCAGGGCTGCAGGTGGATGGTTTAAAAGACCAGCAGAGGGCTTTAATCCCCCAGTGGTGTGAGCAGATTATTCTTGCTTCCCAGGCCAAGCGTTTTGGAAAGGTCGGGTGGCTCAGGTCTGCTCCCCGGCGGGGAGGGCAGCTGGTTATTTCTCCCCCCAGCACCTCCCTGCTGAGAGCTGGCAGCGCTGCGATGCAAGCATCATCTGGAGGTCACCTGGACTTCTCTCCCCTCCTGGCTTGGAGCACGGCAGCTCTGCAGGCTTCTGCAGCAAAGCATCAGCAAAAAAGCATCAGCCACTGAAGCCAGCGAATTCTCCTGCTCGTCGCTTCGGTTCTGCATGTGGACAAGGGGAGCTGTGACCTCCCTTCCCCTCTGCTCTCCCCAGAAAATTGCAGGAGGCACCTGCAGGAGTCACCCCGTGAGGCTGGGGCGGCTGAGCGGGGCCCCAGGGATCCAGGCCAGGGCTTGTCCTTCATCACCCGTCCCGATTTGGGGGCAGGTAGGGGGCTGGGGGTCTGGGCGGTCAACAGGAATAAAAAGGAGAGGAATGCAGGGGGCTCGGCCCCAGAGGAGCAGGTTTGGGGTAACGGGAGCAACCAGGAGGCTGAGCTCCTTGCTAGGGCTTTATGAAGGAGCAGTGCTTCTCTGGGAGGAGGATTTCAGTCCATAAAATAATGAAGTGAAGGGAAGACGAAGCACCCCCTCCTCCGAGGCTTGCATGGCGCTGGGAGCCCCAAGTCCCATTTCCTTGGCCCTGCTTTCCTCATCTCTCTGTATGGGGCAGCTGTGGGGTTCCCTGCTCGTGTATACACGTGTACGCGTGGCCCCGTGTACGCTGCTAACCAGGAACATCCCCACAAGCAGCCAAAGGCCTCCGGTTCCCCGCCGGCATCGTTTTGGGGTGAGCGCAGGGGAAGGCCGGATGCGTGGTAGCCCTGCCCTCACACCCCATAAAACGGCTCTGTCTCTGGTTTGTGTCTGAGGGGAAAAAAGGAGAGGAGGGGGGGCGGAAAAAAAGCCTCTCCGAAATGAGATTCCTGAAATGACAGCGTGCTGACACGCTGCGGGGTGATTTTGGCACGGAATGAGAAAGCTCAGCGGGAGCGGGGGGCTCGCGGGATCGTGCAGGCCCCCTGGGGGCTGGGACCCCCGGCACCAGCACCCTGCCTGGCTCTGACCTCGCTGCTGCCGCGCTCCGGCCCTGCTGAAAAGCAGATTTTGTATCTCAGGGTTGGTTTTTTTGTGTTTTTTCCCCTCTCCAGCACTGCTCTGTCTCCATCCCTGGATAAGCCATCAGAGAGGGGGTGGAGAGCAGCTGCAGCTCCCGCACATAGGGCAAGCAGCTGTGCGTGGCCCCGGGGGGGGGAGAAATGCCACCCTACAGCAGGCACGAGACCCAGCCGGGTGGGTGAGCGCCCCTACCAAATGTGCTGGGGTGGCATGGGATCAGGGAACTGTCAGGGTCACCCTCAAAAAGCCCTTCTGTCTGCGTCCCGCTACGGGAAACCCTTCGGGTTTTGCTGTTGAATGGCGAGCAGACCCCCGGGGGGCACCTTCACCCCCATCGCCCTCCGAAAGCAGCAGCCGGGTGCGTGCGGGGACCAGGGGTGCTGAGCTCAGCCCTCTCCGAGCTGCTCGCGGGGCCGGAGGAGCCGTTTCAGCGCGGGGCTTCTTTACGAGCTGCCGGCCTTGGCCGCCTTCTCCCTTGCTCAGGGCTGGGGGCTGCTCCGAACTGCAGGCGGGGGCCCGGGGGGATTCACGGGTGCATTTTTTTTTTTTTTCCGAGCATCTGGCACTTGAATGTTGATGAAGGAGAGGAGCAAAGCGAGCTCGGGCAATCCGAGGCGACCCAACCTGACGCTTGCAGTCGCAGAAGGAGGCAGGAGCCGGCTGCTTCTGCGGCGGGGGGAGGCAGCAGGCAGCAGCCAGCGCTCTCCCGGCCGGCGTCGTGCTGCTGTCACCTGGCCCCGCTCCAGCCGTGGATTTACGCCCTGGCCCCAGCTCCTTCACCCCTCTTCAATGAGATCCTGATCCTTTTTTCTTTTTTTTTTTTTTTTTTTTTGGAGAATGAAACGCTCTCCCTCCACACCGCAGGGAGCCTTGGGGGAGAAAATCGTCCCCACTAGGAATCCTTCGCCCTGCAGCCTTGGCACCAGGGTTTGTCCCCAAATGCCATCCTGAGGGGTGCTGGAAAGCCCCAGGCAGCCCCCGGTGGGTGCTGTGACCCCGTCAGGGTTTTGGGAAGGGCCCTGCTGGCTCGGCGGGGCCGTCAGCATGGGCAGCGCAGGGGGCTGGAGCTTGCACAGCCGAGGTTTATTTCTCCAGTCTCTCTGTGTTTATTTATTGTTTTATTTTAATTATATTTAATAGTTTCTCTGAGTGCTCCCTGGGGCCTTGTTCCTTATTTATGGGCTTGAGGAAAGCCGGAGCAGAAGGGAAACGCTATCAGCCAAGCTGGGCTGTCGACCACATGCACGCAGAGGCAGGTCCTCCCCCGTGCCCGTCACCACCTCCGCCCACGCTCGGTGCTCCAGCAAAGCCAAAAAAAGGGCTTTCTGCAGGCACTCAGCCCCGGGGAGCCCCATGGCAGTGACTTGCCTGTGTCCCACCCCTGGGTCCATCAGGAGGAGACCCATTAAGGCCCCTCCGTGGGGGCAGAGGCAGTCTGTGGGGCAGTTTCTGGCAGCATCCCTGCTCAGGTGCTGCTCCAGGGGGAAATTTGGGGCAGGCGAGCCAAGGCGGGCCAGACCAGCAGGCTCGTGGCTTTGCACTGCTCGCAACCACCCCAAAATAAGGCAAAAGGCAGCTTTGTGCGGCTCGTCGTACCAGCCAGATGGGAAGCATTTGGGGCCTGGGGGGTGAGATACGTCCCCACCGAGCCCTCCCCGAGCGCGGGGGGCACACAGCTCCTCCCGGCACGCCTTGCCAAGCGCTCTCCCCCTGCTTTCCATCCAAACAAGCTGTCAAGCTTTCAGCAGCCACCCCTGCGCGGGGCCGGTCACACTCAGGCAGACGCGAGAGAAATGAGTCCCACCTTCCCGGGGGCCAGGTGGGTCGGGGTCACCCCGTCCCCAGCCCCATGTACCGGGATGGCCCCGCAGCCACTCAGGGCGACGTGCCCCGGATAACTGGGCTGGCGGGGCTCTGCGAGAGCTTGGCAAATGCAGAGCTTTCTAAGCTGGCACCGCATTTGCTGCAGAGCCCGCATATCTTTGCACACTCCTCTATCCACCCAAAAAAATGTCTGTGCCCCCCCAAACCTCTAAAGCAAACCCTGGGGCCCCCACGCTGCTCTCCACCAGAGCTGGGCTGCAAGGGGCCAGGCTGTTGCAGGGGGGCTGGGGGCTTTTGGGACTCCGTGACCACTGCAGTGGGGACAGAGGAGGTGGGAAAACCCATGGGCAAGGGGCACTTTTTCAAGAGGAAGACAGTTCACCTGTCTGTCCAGTGAGTCTGATGGGTGGAAGGGAAAGCAGGAGGTGGGTGCAGATGGAGAGGTGCCTGAGGGTGCCTGCAGTGGGATGCACATCCTCTCCGTCCCTCCAGGCCCCACTCAATTATATTTTCCTGCCAGCTCCTTCTGGTGGGTTTTTACCCACGGTGGGATCTGAAAAGCTGCCAGGAAAATGTCTGGTCTTGGTATGCCAGACAGGAACGGGAGCTGTGAAAAGCCGCAGGGGCGAGCCAATGGTGTTTAACCTGTCTGCGCATCCCTTTCATGTCTGGAGGCGAGCGGGGAACGCCAGGACCCCTGCTGCCCTGCAGCCTGCACCAAGCAGGAGCTGCCTTTTATTTGGGAGTAGGAAAAAAGGGAAGAGCCAAAGAGGAAAGAAATGAGGACACAGTGCCAGCCCCTGCCCGCTGGCAGCATGCGACAGAGCGGCCGGCAGGGAGCTGTGCTGCCCTGGGGGTGTCCCCGCTGGGTGCCCCCCACCCCCAGCTCCGTGCTGCCTCCCCCAGCCCATCTCCCTGCTCGCTGCAGGAGGATCTGGCGGAGCAGCACGGCTCTGACATCATCCCAAGGAAAAGGGAGAGCTCCGACGTGTGACGGGAGCGGTGCAAACGCAACCCAGCTGGTGCAGCCGCCGCATGGCACCCGTCCCGTGCCCAGCTCCCCCGCTGTCCCCACGGGGGTGACCCACGCTGCAGCTTGTGGTGGGGGCAGGACCCGGCACATCACTGCTGCTGGGGGGATGCTGGAGGTGCTGCCACTGGAGGGACTGGGATAACTGGGAGAGCCCCCGCAGTGGTGGGACACCCAGGGGTGATGCCCAAGAAGAAAGGTTGGGTTCTGGTGCAGGCACCAACAGCCCTGCAGAAAATGCGTATAAAGAATTCAATGAGATTTTAAAAGGCCTCCCAGCTGGGATTCATCAGGGAGAGCTTTCCAGGAGTATGAATAAGGCAAGCAGAGCCCAGCCAGCACCGCAATACCTTCGTGCCAGCCAGGGTGAGGTGAGCTCCTGGGAAAGCAGCTTGAGCAGCACAGGCCCCCCGAGGGGCTGCGCCAGGAGGGGTCCCTGCACTGCTGGGGCCGGGGGCTGACGGTGCAGGGAAGGGCTGTCCCGAAAAGCCGTTTGCATGCAGCCTGGGAACATGCTTTAGCCCCAGAAGCACAGCACAGGCTCAGGGGCTGCTTGGCAGCGGGTTCGGAGGGACCACGGCAGCAGCAGGGAGTGGGCTGGGGGAGCGGGGAGTGCTCCTTCCCAGGCTGGTGCTATTGACCCTAAAAAGGGAATTGTTGGAGTCTTTACCAAAGAAGGCAGGGTGGCTGCGGGGCAGAGCAGCATGGGGGAGCGCTGCACCGTAGCCTGCAGGTCTGGGGACTCACTGCTGTGCTTGTTGCAGGCTCCTCTTGAAGGCCCGGGGGTCAGATCCATCCCAGTACTGCTGCCTCAGGGCCATGGCAGGGACTGAGCTGCCCAGGTCCCGTGAATCCTCATGCAGCAGGTGTGGGGAGGCAGCTGGGGCATGAGGCCCACGGTCCTTTCCGTAAATTCCCCCCATAAATTCACCCCGTACCTTCCCTGCTTGCACCTGCACATGTTTAAGCAAGGATCCCACAGGGGGAAAAGCAGAAGCCATCCCACCAGCTTCCCCCTTGGCCCAGGGCCCTCCTCCATCCTCCATCCTCCCTGCTCCATCCTCCCTTGCTTACCCACAGCTCTCCATCACCCACCCTCTGTCCTCCATCTCCATCCTCCACCCCGCATCCTCTGAGCTCTTCTGCCCTCCATCCCCTCTCCTCCCTCCCCCAAACCACGTCGCCCCCAGCAGAGCTGCAGAGGAGGCTCCGTGCGGGGCCACGCTCAGCCCCTTGCCCACCCAAGCCCCAGGAGGGGATCCTGGCAGCGCCAAACGTTCAGGTTTGTTCCACACCTCCCCATTTCTCCGCCTGCGTCACCATCAGAAAAGCACAACCGTGGAACCCCCTCCCCGGGCACTGGCCAGTATGGACCAGGCTGGTCCCAGTAAGGATCTGCCTGGGGCGAGGGCTCGCGACTGGTTTTGTAACGGGGGATTGCAGCTCTTGAAGGGACACGGGTCAGATGCTGTTAGAACTCAGTAAATGTGGTTTTAACAACCATCTGGCACTTCTTTTATATGCAATAACCATCCCATTACATCGAAATCAAATCCACATTTAAGGCGCTTAATTGCACCAGTGGCCTTTAGCTCCTCTCCCATCCCATAAAATATTTCCCCTTCCAGCAGCCACAGCAGAGGAGCTCAGCTGCGGGTCTCCAGCCTCCCCTTCAGGCCGGGCAGGTGCACAGGGGGGGTTTCGGCCCCCTGGGGATTTCAACCCCTGGGTTTTCAGCCCCCACGGGGATTTTGTGAGCATCCGATGTGGACTCGAGCCCACGTTGGGCTTGACCAGGAGACAAATGCCATTTCTTGAGGGATTTTAAGTCCTTCTGCTTGGCTTCGCCCCGATCCTGGACAAAACCTGCCCAGGAAGGGCAGCGGGATGGGGAGCGGCACCGCAGCTGGCCGAAACGTGTCACTTGTTGAGTGCCAGCTGTGAGGTGACGCAAACCCAGGGTTTTGTGCAGAACACAAGGCCTTTTTGGGCCAAAATATCAAAGAATCAGACACCGCGAGGCAGCACGGTTCTCCTTATATCTCTCCCCGTGAAGCTGTGGAGGCACCACGGGGCGTT